AATGTTCATCATATTATTTTGTTGGCTCATTAACCTTTGCTGATGTTGCTGCTGCATATCCCCAACAACATGCTGCCCCATCGTCTGCTTCTGTTGGATGCTTGAGCTATTTGCAGCTTGCTGCCGCATCATTTGTGTTTGCTGCTGTTGTAGAGGAGAAATTGATTGCTGTGGCAATGAAGTTTGCTGCTGATGCATGCCAGAGGCTTGTTGTGATTGTGGATGTGACCTTAGCAGCGCCGATTGATGCTGACGAAGCATCGATTGTGTCGTCTGCTGAGCAGACAACTGCGAACTTGATTGCTGATTTGTGTGGAGACCCTGGAGAGGAGCTGAATTCACAGTGGAGGGCTGCGTAGTAGATGTTGGAATACCAGGCTGTTGAGACGTATGCAGTTGGTTAGGCTGAGGCACATTTTGTTGCTGTTGTTGCATGTGTGATGGCAAAAGCAAATTGGGATTGGGGACATTCCCCGACTGAAAATTCTGCTTGAGAAGGTTCTGCTGTAACTGCTGCTGATAAAGATATTGTGCACTCTGTGGCTGCTGTTGCTGCTGTGAAGACATAGCATGTGGCCTGCCCAGCATCTGCCTTTGAGATCCTGAGAACATGTTCGATGAAAGGCCATGCTGCCCAGATGAATCTTGCAACATTCCGGCCACATTTTGCATATTCGAATTCTGGTTTACAGCGCTTGTAACATTATTATTAGCTATGGAAGAAACAGGCGGCATGGAAGATGGTAAAGCAGTAGAACCCGTCATTCCTGAGGCTGTATTACTCTGCATAGTTTGGGACAGCAACGGCTGAGGTGCTTGAGATTGATTGGTTGGTAATGATCCTGGAAGAAGGTGTCCTTGATTGTTGGGTACTATTCAAGGAAAGGTTAAACAGCACCAAATTAGAGGAACAATTATCCATAAAACTAGATAAACAGACTTAAAGCAATACATGCTTGAAAATCGTGATTACTCGAATCCATGGATGTGCCATTATTAGCGGCAGGGATAGATGAGGAAGAGCCAGCTGCAGTTTGCGATTTCGTCTCCATAGTCAGCATCTTCATGGATATTTTCCGAAGGTAATCAGTCTGAAAATCGAAATTAAAGAATATAAGGAAGTTTCACTGGTACCACAATTGGTTATTTCCATGTTGTGGAGTCCATTGCCTCAAAAGTCTTTTCACCACACTACAGAAACAAAAATATATGTTCATAGGAAACTTAATCACCTGGTTAGCAGCACCGCTGAAAATTTTCTCCTCGAATCTGGCAGCAATTCTTCTGAGTTCGTTAATTCCCTCTGCTCCAGAAAATGGAAGGTGCTTCTTTAGTGTTTCCATTCTGTGCACAGTTGCAAGTAAGAAACAGAATTAGTTGGCATAATAACCTTGTATTTCTGCATGATTGAACTGACATAGACAGAATAACGCTAGAGAGAACTTTGCAAACACTGGTAAACTTACATCTTGTTGACGATCTTGTGGCGTGAATCAGGTGGTAATTGAGTTCTCCAGTCACCAGTGTCCATGGCAGATTCTCCATTCGGAAGAGAAGGCCTCCAATTGTTATTATCCATCAAGTATCCTACATTTACAAGCCATCAAGAACAAGGTATCAATAGCGTAAAAGTAGACTTGTAACTCATCAGAGAAACGAAAACATGACAATCAAAAACGGATATTCCAAATCAACAGGAAACAAACGACCACACAAGATGGATTACACAAACCCCTTTCCATTTCCCATTTCTGGCAAGAATCACACCAACCTAACTAACATAACCATTCAGAAGAAGCAGAAGTTTGCTTCATCAGAAATTGAATTTGAATTCATCAACCCTATAGAGATCAGAATCAGTTATGTTCAAATTTTCATTTTTACCATTAAAAACCTCTCTTTTGTTTTCAGTTCCTAGGACAAAGCCATAAACTCAACCTCAAGAGAATCCAGGAAAACAAATAAGCATACACTCATCTCAGGAATCCCGATCACAAGAGAAAACTCTAAAATCAAAGCTT